GTGGACGTCTACTGTGCTCGGCTGCGACGGTTAGAGATCTAGGAGTAATATACCAATGGGACTTAAAATCGTCAGACAATACGCACAAGGTCTACTGTTCCAGCCTTCGCATGTTTCGGTCATTAAAGCGGACCTTTCACGTTTGGTAGGAGGAAACTGCTGTCAGGCTATCCGTCTCCATGGTGCGCCCGCTTTTAGAATACGGGGCACCGGCCTATTATCCAAGTACAAAAAGTGAGATGAGAAAACTGGAAAAGTCCAGCACCTAGTCACCCGCCTGATCCCCACGCTCCGAGGCTTATCTTACCACCAGAGGTGCCACAAGTTACGTCTCCATACACTAGTATACAGGAGATTACGAATTGACCTCATTACAACGTTTAAAATCCTTCACCTGAGACATTTCCTCACCTGAGACATATGTTATGTATTGTGGATGCACCTATCACCCGAGGGCATTCTTACAAGCTGGAAGTTCCACGTATGGACAATGTCACTCATATTCATTGTTTCGCGCGACGTGTGATACATTTCTGGAACTGGTTGCCCAGTTCCGTTGTTCTTTCTGATTCAGTGCAGTGTTTCAAACGAAGCATTGACAAACATTTTTCAGACTTGTGTTTCGATGCAGACGCCATGTTTGACCTTCTTTCGTCGCGTGGTTATGTCACGGCTACACTAGCAACCCTAAAAGACCAAGACACGTAGTGCTTTCTTTGTGCTTATATATCGGTATTTTGTTTGCTTATTACTAAACGACTATTGATGTGCATTCACACAGACCCATAATCGGCATGGGTCATTTTTGCTTTACTTATGATGGAGATCACATAGATTCCTATCTTATTCTCCTAATAAATTGATTCTGATTCTGATAATGGGATGGCAGAAAGGTTCCACCAGCAACTCAAAGCATCACTCTGTGCCCAATCTAGCACATCCTGGCACGAAGCACTTCCGCTCGTTCTCTTTGGCATAAGAAACGATTAAAGCGGATTTGCATGCCACTCCATCGTCGCTAGTCTTTGGATACACACAACGCTTACCTGGTGAACTCGTCTCACCAAAAGCGCCAACAGCCTTCGACTATGGTGACTACGCAGCTCGCCTATCTCATCACATGCGACAGCTTCAGCCCGTGCAATCCAGAGCACACAGCTTGCGTACCAACGTGGACGAACGCTTAACTACTTACACGCACGTGTTCGTTCGCACTGACAGCGTACGCCGGCCACTTCAACCTCCTTATTCTGGTCCGTACCGTGTCGTACGCAGAAGCGACAAGACCTTTACCATTGACTACAATGGTAAGACTGAGACGATCAACGTCGATCGACTCAAACATGCATTCCTCGACGAGTCTGACTCTTCGGCGCAACAAGCACCTTCACAGCCTGCGCCATCACAGCTCGCACCGCAACCTCAGACGAGTCAGTTCGCTCCAGCAGAACCGACAACAACCGACAACACTCCTACTCGCCCTACTATCAATCGACGCGGCAGAAAGCTCAAACCTCCAGTTCGTATTTCGGACTTTGTTCGCACTTACTATTTTACATAGAACCTGCCTTTGAAAATTTCTGTCCTTACCAAACGTTTTCGAAAATTCACAAAAAAGGCCAAAACGTCTTCAAACTACAAAAAAGAGCAAAATCTTTTGAAAACCCAAAAACATTTTTGCACGTTTTTCGCTTTGCACTCTTTTGTGTATTGCTATGCATTTATGCTGCTTTTTCATTTTGCTTTCCATATACACCGCCGGTTGGTTGCACCTCGGTTTCACTTTTCGCTGGATTCCCGAACGTCAACTAGAAGTGGAACGAACTTCCTGATCAACCACCTATGTGAACTTTACTAACCGTCCCCCCACAAACAGTTTTTTACCGTTTCGACACAGTAGGGAGGACACGGGTGGTAGCCCGCTAGGGTCCGATTGCATGATTCTACACCAGCAGCTGCATCAGGTTTCACAACCTGGTCTCGCAGAAGGCTGGCCCGCGACGGACAGTCCTCACGTAGATCGAAGGATTGCTTACACAGTCCCTTCTGGGAGAGGGCTATGTAGCAGTCTGGAGATTCCCCGGTTTGCCTGTGTAAAATTCTAACGAAAATTATTTCATTGTACACCTAGGTAACCGGTGTGGTTTGTTGAACTGATTGCTGAGTTCGAACGCTTGACTTGCTCATCGCCATTTTTTGCTTAGCGCTCGTTTCGGTTGCAAGTCACGACTGCCCTGTGTGCTGTGCACGCTGCTTTCCCCTAGCTAGAGCGTCTACGGTGTCGTTCCTTTATAGCTAGATAACGGAAGCTTTTAATGTATCAATAAAAGTTTCCCTGCAACTCCATCTATTTTTTCGAATCGCTCTCCGGGCTCACGGTGCAGGCTGCTCTCTAGTCACGCTGGTCAAGCTGACAGGCCTGTAATTAGCCGGTAGGTCTGTCACCGCACTTGAAAATCGGGCAGACAACAGCCTCCTTCCATTCGGTAGGTAAGACAGCTGTTAAGTGACTTCTGAAACACACAAGTCAGAAGTCCACTGAGTTTCACTGCCAATTCGTGCAACAATTTTGGATGAACAGAATCTGGCTCGGAAAACTTAGTTGGGTTTACCTCTCTTAGCAACTGGAGAACTTGAGACTCAGTTACAGGAATTTCATTCAGGCAACAGCCCTCAGAGACAATTGGAGCTAATTGTTTCGCGGACAAATACGCTTGAGTACTGCTCACCAAGCACGCACGCCTTGTCATAGTCGCTATAGGCATGGGTCCCATCTCCTCGAAGCAATGGTGGTATGGGCGAGTTTGTACCACAGCGTCGTTTAACGTAAGTGAAATATATCTTAAGATTTTTCGAGGCAGTATCAGCTAAGCCCTTTTCATAATGAAGCCGAGCCAACCTAAGATGTAGCTTGCACTCATTTCGAACCAACCGATACTTGTCAAACGTGATGTTGGATACGCTCGCCAGCATCTAGACCGCTTTTTTAGCTGGCCCTTCCCCGCGAAATTTATCCACGGAGGCTTCACTCTCGATTCTCTTCATTTTACCAGTGGGATGTGATTTGCAGAAATGTCGACGAGGTGAGCTTTAAGTTTTTCCTAGGCTATGTGAACAGTGTCGGTCTCAGATATCACACAGGGCGATGAACTAGCTTTATCCCGCATCGCTTGGAAATCCGCGGCCCAAATGTTCGGATACTAACTGGTAGTAGCTTGGCAAGGCCAGACAAGGGTACACTGGAAAGATAAGCAAACGTGATCGCTAGCCTCAAGAGGCTGGTCATTTACAAAGTCAAGTGATTTAGCAAAAACAAGATCTAAAGTGGACGACTGCTGATTTCTCATGTACCTAGTGGGGAGGTACACGAACTGGTGTAGTGGTACCTGCAGCGTTAAGTTCAGCAGTTCTGTACCAAACGATCGCAGCGCCGAACTGCAAGATAGATCATCCAAACAAACATCTGGGAGGTTGAAATCTCCCAGCACCAGACACTTGTTCGCAGAATGAGTGCGTATAAACTCAATGATTCCGTTGGAGGTGCTCATAGGGCCTCTATACACTAATACGACCATAAGCTGAACCGAGGAAGCGCAAATCAATACTGCGAGAGCCTAAACAGATGTGTCCAGAGACTGAAAAACGCTGGTCCTCAGTACGTCGATGTGATAACACACATAAAGAGCTACACCACCCCCTTGACGGCCAATGGAGCGGTCAGCGCGGAACAATGCGTAGCCAGGCAGATTTACTTCGCCATCTGTGATTTCCTCAGACAGCCACGTTTCAGTGAAAGCAAGTATATCTGGACGAGATTTGTCTTCGAGCAGACCCACCTCGCACATCTTGTTCCTCAGGCTACGCACGTTACTAAGTACTACTTGGAGGGCTTCGGCACGACCAGCCCTGGGTCGTGCGCAAGTAGTATAGGTTCTGGCAGGGCGGAAAAGGATCGCCGTCTGACCACCTGAAAACCCACCAATCGGAGACCTTGCTCGCCAGCTGCACGCCGGGCTTTTAGGTCTGATGGCTTCCTTTAACTGTAACCTATCCGCTAACGGAAGGTCTGGTTGCTCACTAACGTTGGTACCTTTGAGCTTGAAGGCAAATCGCAGTAAGGCTCCGCTCTTCTGGGGTGGAGATGACCACCCTAAGCAGACGGGGTCGATGATTTGGTTGACCAACCGGAACGTTCCCCAACCTGATGAGCTTCCTGATAGCAACCCCAGGGAAACCTGGTGGTAAAAGCTTGGTCACGCAAACCTTAAGCCAACCAAGAGCACCAAGCATGCGCTCGGTAGGAAGAGCGGCAGTGGATCCAGTGACGTTTCTGAAAATCACACTGCTATCGGTGTAAGAATCGCCCCGACGAGGTGTATTTACTCCACATGCTCTAGCATCCACGCCATATGGTTTTTTGACTGGAATCGGTAGGACGGAAGGCGACGGCACCTCATGTCTCACTGAAACAATTGTAACACCAGGTGGTGTTCCCAGCTCAGGCGCTTGTTTCTTGAGCATTTTATCACATCCCGGTTTGGGGAGCGGAGGGTTTGCGCGCTTTACTTGCCTTCTTATTCTTATACTTTAATGGCCCAGGAGTCCGTGACTCGCCTTCCATTTGGGGCGGGTCAACAATGCCGTCCGAGGCATCTGTCAGTTATCTGCATGTGAACTGGAGCGTCCGGAAGGATGAACGCCTCGTCAACAAATGGACTGTCAGCAGAAGGACAATCCGTTACGGCGTGGTGAGCCGGCTATGTAGGCTCCAGATAAGCAGATTGAATCGCACACTGCTATTACTTGAAAAGTCGTATGCACAGGCAGTTAAAGTAAGAAAACAATCAAGCTCGAAACGATGTCACGTCAATAAAAAGTAGGCAGGTCGAAAACAGAACGTAAAGAATGGGCGTCAAAAGCCAGGAGTTGTATAACACAGTATATTTGGCATTCGACTTAAGTTAGGGTCCCGACGAATTTACATATAAGCAACGTGGAGATCACTTTTTCTTCTGAAATGTAAGAGGCTGTCCTTTGTCCTTGCCCCTTAATTTAACTCCTAACGCTCGCTCAAGCTTTGAAAGGACGAGTTGGTTTTTCAAGCCTTCACCTTTTTCGTATTCGGCTACGACCTGAAAAACAGATCAACAACGCAACAACGAAGTACCTGGACTTTCTCGTTGATCCTCGCCGCCAAGTCCTTCTGGCTCAGACCCTTTTCATTGCGCGCTTTCATTATAAGCCTTGCAACTTCCAGGTCGACCAGATCAGCCTGATGCGTTTCAGTTTCCTCATCTAGTTTAGCCACATTTTTAACAATTGGTCGCTGCTTATTTTGCCCAGCAGACCATCGTTTATGGGTTTCAATAGGTTCCCCACGCCGCAAAGCAGCACTAAACGACTGCAAAAAGCAACATAATGTGAAACAAATTAAACACTTACGGAGTTAGTTTTAAGCGCAACAGGACGGCTCTCGGCCATCATCGACGTAAGTCTCAAACATTCGCCAAGAGAATTAGAGACCGACGGACCCACAGTACGTGGAAGCAGCGAAGAAACGCTATGGTTGCCTGGTACACCAGGAGCAAACTCGCAAATTCAGGCAACATATATTGATGAGGGATTGCATGTCATAAACACAAAATGATTAAAGACATGCCAACCGCAGTTAGGTTATAATGAATAAATGGTTATCTTCCTCTGTGAGCACCACGCGGTAACACGATTTGTTAGCGTGCCTATATGGTATGTACGGTAAAGCAGGTTGGTGTTACCGACAAGGTTTCTTTATTGGAATCATCAGAAAGTAGAGAGCAGAATGTAAGGCCATCGTCAGCTCCAGTACCTCCCACTCATAGTAGGTGTTTAGGCAACAGCAAACAAGTTCAAGCTCAGTTGGGATGGGAACGATAGGGTAATCTCGTGAATTTTCCTTCTTTTTCGTATGGTAGGCTCGGGAATTGATAGGTCCGCTTGATGTGTTGAAAAGCCTAAAACAGAGGCCGCATCACACCCTGTTCAACCAAATACTGCCCACATTTTCCTGCCGAGCAGTCCCTTCCAGGCCGGTTTATGTGAAGTAAAATAGTGAAGGGTTAGCTAAGAAATCAAGATGAGGAATGTCAGCTATATAATGATAATACCAAGGTGTAAGAAATTAAAAAACCGAAGGGAAAGTTGAAGCTACAAATCGGTTCGGAGAAGGAGAATGTTTGGTACTGCCACCGAAGAACATCAAACCGACGCTTGAAACCTTCAACTGTAGACTCCCTATCGACTTGCTCCGGAAGCCAGTTCCAACGTTCTATAACTCGGCGTGATTATCCAGTTTCCGTCCTTACCCGGTCAGAACGCATTTTGTACACCTTTAACGGGTGGCGTCGGAGACTATGCAGCTTGGCCGGACTAAATAGCCAGGACCGATCTTACCTGTTAAGCTACGGTAAGTGCAGCACATTTCTCCTCTAATGCTGCAGTAGTGCGGTGCGTGTATACTCATCTAAGCAAATATCTGGGATACGTTTGTCCCTGTAATCCTTGCACTAACCTTGTACATACTCGCAAAGCCATCTGCAGTTCCATTTCGTCCCTTACAAGACAAGTTGGACAAGCCTGGATACAATACTCTGTGTGGGGTCGCACAGAAGCTGAGAACAAATTCACAAATGTACTGGCCGTTAGGACACCTAAGGAGCAGCGAATAAATCACATCACACGAGCCCTCTACAAGCAGCCTTCATCTAATTGCCCCAGAGTGCGGCAATGAGGTGTGGGTGATACCTAGATCATCCTGCTGAGTGACAACAGGGAGTTCACTTCCAGCAACCATATAGTGCGTGGGGAGCTACGGGGTGGGTTGTCACAGTTGAAATGAAGCCACAACAAGATCCCTACAAATGCTACAAGTCAAATTCCAACAATAGTTTACTACCTCCCTCAGTATGCACCTTGAGGATGGAATCTCAGTCGTTCACCATACGAATCGGTAGCGTAATATCAGAGCGAAGCCTGAGTCAGGTAGGTTTAAACCGTTTCCAGCAGTTGCACCGAGTCGATCTTTCTGTGTTAATCTGGAAGAAAGTTGGGAGCTCCATTCCCATCTTACCCATCAGCATGCGCTGAGCGTATATCAGCTCACCTCGGCGACGCCGATATGCCAAAACGAACATATGAAAGTGCTGGAGCCGAATGTGATATGGCAGGTGCCAGAGCTCCAAGCTACACTTCGAACAGCACCGCTGAACTTTCTCAAGCAAGCCATGTTCAAACTTTTTAGCGGATGAACTGGGGGTAATCCATTTCGAGGATTGGAGGCACATAGAAGGCAAACACAAGTCTGAAAATCTCTGGCGTCAATCGTGAGAAGTCTCTTCGGATGGAGCACAGCAGTCTGTTGGTTACGACAAACCACCTTAAAGTGTCATGAGTGGTTTTAGATCACAGCATACAACAACCCTAAGGTCACTTTCCTGTTTCACCTTATTAAGCAAGTGACCGCAAAAATAGTAAACACCGAGTGATTCAGTAGCAACAATGGTAAGCACCGAACAATTATAGAGATTTATAGGCAACTGCCATTTAATTGACCAACCGTGCAGCCGATCCAGTGTATATTGGACTTGGTCAGCATCCGCAGCTCTGGAAACCTCCATCCATAACGGCACCCCTTCAGCATAAAGCGAATATTCGGTCCGGAGACTTGAAGCAAGGTCGCTAATAAAGAAGTTGTACAACTGTGTTCAAAAATCAGAGCCCTGGAGGACGCCACTGCTCATTAGGACTGGGGCTGAATACCGTAAGTTGGCCTAAAAGGAAACCAGAGATCCACGACTGAACCGTCCCAGAGACACCAGTTACTTGAAGTTTAAACAGAAGCTGCTCAAGAAGAAGTTTATCAAATGCTTTGTTTAAACCAACGTAGATAACGTCCACAGGGTTGCCCGCATCCAGTGAGTTCGCCCATTTCTTTCTGGCAACTAACTAATTGGTGGTACACGAGCGTGGCTTCCGAAAGCCATGTTGAGCAGTAGAAAGCACACCCTGGTCGTCGAAGGAAAGGTAGAGATCCCTTGAGAACCAGTTCCATAATTTTACAAATTACTGATGTTAAGCGAACTGGGAGATATTTTGCTTGGTCTTGGCGCTTCCCTCCTTTATATGTGGGTATGTCAATGCCCAGCTTCCAAGCTGAAGGAACGCGTTGGGATACAATAGAGCAATGAAACACATGACAAACTGCTGGTGTAATGTATTTAGCCGCGGTCGTGATAAACCAAGGATGCAGGCCATCAGAACCAGGCTGTTTCCGGATCTAACTAGAGAAAGAACGAACAGTTTCCGTACATAACTCAAGGTGATCCGGCAACGAGGAGCACGAGTGCAGGACGTCAAAAAACGGTGCTTCATTTGTAAAAACGGATGAATAATATTGATCTGAGACTGGCTTTTGCAGCATCCTCACGAAGAAAGGCAGTGTGTTTACTGGCATACAGAGATAGAATGCCATCGCCAGCTTTGGTGCCCTTTTCAGCTATGTGAAGAACATTTTGGGGCAGCAGCTGGACTGCACAAAAAATTGCAACGCGTAGCATTGGCAATTTTCCCGCGTCTTCAGTATACAAACGTTCCTAAGCCTTTTGTATTCCAAGTAGTCGACTGTGGCTTGTGTACACTTGAATCGGTCCCATGCTTCGCGTCGTTTCTTCATCAGGGGCCTCAACTGTCTGTCGATCAACGGAGGACCTCTTTTCTGGAAATAGGTAGAAGGTGGTTGGTTAGCAGCATCCCTTTGGAGTAAAAGTGTGTCCAAGCATTGGCAACAACCAAAAATGGTTAATGGCCCAGTCCACGTTAGAAGCAGCCACTTGCGGCCGCTGCAGATCCACTCGCCAGAAACTATACCGGAAATCATCTTGGTCATGAATAAAAAATCGACGTGCTCATTGGAAAGAACTAACCTAGTGAGCACAGTTACTAATATATAAATAAATAAGTAGTATATTCTCGAATTTGTCGAGACACAACAAACCAGGCATGATCAACATTTACATGTAATTGTTTCGCAACAAACACATTGCTATGTATGTAATCGGCAGTAAGCCGAAAGTTGTACAGGCTTTAGAAATTGTAAAATTAATATTGAGGAATAAAGTCGTCAATGCATGACGACACGTCGGGTTCTAACGTGCGTTGTGTAAACAGTCTGGGCATTAATGTGTAGTGAAAACGATACATGTATTCAGGGAATTTCTTACTCTTACTGTTACTCATGAACGTGTCAGGAAAATATTAAATTATGATTGTAATAGACTTGCCAATATGTAGTTGTGGTCAGGGACTTTATTCATTGGCGAGTCACATCCGCCACGTCGCAGTGTTGTTAAGCGGACATTTGTGGTTTTTTACAGGGAGAACGCTTGTCTGGCGAAAACCCAACACGTCCTGGAACACGGTCAGAAATCCGTTTGTACACTAATGTAAAACTGGCAGAGCAGCTTGACGACTGATTTCACCCTCGGTTATCCGCAGTCAATTAACTTCCAATTTCCTCTGTTAGCTGATCAGGTAACTTTGGTCGGGGCGGCCATAATGGCTGAGGCCCATGGAGGGTGAGACCATAGTCAACTTTGTGCGTCTAGGTGAGCAAAACGTCAGATGCTTGCGTCTGGATCTTTCAGGTTTATGTATACTTTTCAGGAGCGTGAAGGCCTCGTGTCCAGCTATCATTACTGGACAACGGTCGTGGTTTTGCGTGCATTTGTATACATTTGTAGTACAGCCATGTTCTTTGTACGTCCTTGTGGGTTAAGTCCTGTCCCGGGCAAATACTCTTTCTCGGCCCAATCCCGGATCCCCAAGAAGTTCCGGACCTCGGAGAAAAGGGAAGGTGAGAGACAAACAAGGCGGCAAAGAACAGGCGTGGGAAAAGACATTGTTAAAGTCCTATGGTATAACATTTAGTGAAAACAAATGATGTACAATGTGCAACATTACTTGTGCTGAAAGTGTCTTTTGAATGTTCTACGAAAGCAATGACCGTATAGGTTGGTTGCTACCATCTACATGGGATACTCGGCGTTGCGCCATTAAGCAGAGAACGCAGTATCGGTTTACTGTGATGCAAGTATTGCGTGTGAAAACAAAGTAGGATTTAAAGACCAGCAGTTAGCCAACCTACTTCGATAGGGAGCGCAGAATATGCTGACCCAGGAAAAGCCAGTGAGTCTGTTGGACTCATACATGGGTAAGTGTCGCAAACATAGCAGCGAGTAAGTGAACAATGAACACCTATAAATGAGAAGCTAACGGGCGTCTGTGTACGGCGCCTAACAACCAGGTCAGTGACATCTGACAGCATTGGGGTATCACAAGATCAAATGTGTGCGGCGTGAGGTCTGTGATCAACCGAGTGGGTGAAAATACATGTCACCACTCTGTGGCGACCAGCCCTGGAGAAGTGATTTCCTTGGGTGTATACTTCCGAG